AGCAACCTAAATATTTAGGTAGCCAACTAAATATTTTAAGTTAAATATTTAGGTTGCTACCTAAATATTTAGGTTGCTACCTAAATATTTAGGTGGCTTCCTAAATATTTTACTTGCTAGTTAAACATTTAAGTTGAAACCTAACTATTTAGGTAGCAAGCTAAATATTTAAGTTAAATATTTAGGTGGCTTCCTAAATATTTTACTTGCTAGTTAAACATTTAAGTTGAAACCTAACTATTTAGGTAGCAAGCTAAATATTTAAGTTAAATATTTATGTGGCTAGCTAAATATTTAACTTGCTAGCTAATTATTGAAGTTGCAACCTAAATATTTAGCTCCAAACTAAATATTTGTCACAAGTTCACTATTTAGCTTGTTAACTAAATATTTAATTTGTAAGTCAAATGTTTAGTTTATAAACTAAGACATTTATAAATGTATGAATCATATGGTGAAAAACCAACTTTGAAAAATAAATCTGTTCTTTTTTTTCTTATAAAAGGCTAAATAGAACAAAAATATTGGTGGTATGACTGTGTAACTTTGCAAACGGCACCCCATAGATTTGACGAATGATCAAAAACTGCAATTTCAAACCTTTCTAGAAATATGTGAGGAAAGTTTAGAACATTTGTGTGCATATTGTAGATAATGTTGTCGCTGTCACCTGATTACTTTGATAAAACACCTCTTCAAACATGGCTTCTGCCCACTCCAACTTTAATAAATTCCCTTTCCCGTTATCATCAGATAGTGACAAGTGTTCTGTGATTACAAAGCATTCACAGCCTCGTTTATCGTTTTTAAGCAGATCTTTTAAAATGGCTTTCCTTTGGCTGACATTTTTGAGTGTCAAAGTTCACACTAATCTCAGAGGGTTTATAGTTGTACCCTCCATAGCTCATAAAGCAGATTTAGGTGACGTGCAGAGTACATTAGTACATTCCTAAACAGCAATGCTCAGATATGTTTGTCGCTACAGTCGAAATACAAGTTAAACCGTCAGAAAGGGTCTTAAAGAATCATTTCTTGAGGAAAKTTTGGTGACGTGTGTTGATTTGCCAAATTATTAAGACAAAGAACAATTAGGAACATTAAAACAAGGAACACAAATAGCATTTAGAAATATCTAACACAATTCTGTATTTAAAAAAAAGTCAAAATAAAACTCCACTGTGACAGTTTACCTGCCGCAGTCTGGCACGTTGAACAGCAAGTGATGTTTTGCRTTCTCCGGCTTGTACAGAACCTGGAAGCCCCGACAGTTCCTGTGTGGGGTTCATAGTTCACTGACACGCCCTGCTGTATGAGATTAGGCAGTTTAGATGGTAAAACTATGTTTTTTTCTGGCTGAACTTCCAGCACCTCCTGCTGTTGTGATATTTAACCAGCATTTAGTCAAATTGCAGGGCAGAAAGCTGACATCTGATTTYATGTCTTYACCATTTGGTGGGATGTTTTGTTTGGACTCTGGCTTACTTTTAATTGTCATGCAGTTTTCTGCTTGATTACCTTTTCGCCATCCATTGACCTTTACCTATGTGTTTGGGTTCTCCACGCAACCTTTACCATGACAGCAGGGAGGCTGCTTATTAGAAGCTCATACATTATAGATTTGACTTTCTTTGGACTTTAGCCTACATGAGTTCCTGGCATTAAGTCCTGAAAAAGACCCAGTTTACCAGGATCAATGGAGAAAGATAACCGACTGTGTCGCCTGTTGTTTCGGTCACTTAATGACAAATTCAGTCTCCAACATATGGCCATATGTGCACAAACAGGCTGCGATTTATCTCTAACTTTAAGGTCAGCGTCATGAGTGCAGGGCTTTAGGAGCTCTCAGACTTCCCCCTCTGAGGCGAACTGTACAGCAGATAAGTAATGCTCACTTCAGGCTTGCAGCTTTACTGAGAGGAGATAATCTCTCCCAATCTCATCATTATCATCATCGTCATCTTCGCAATCAAGCAATGTGCACATATTGCTTTTTATCTGAAGAATTTGGACAACAAAATCTGCTCTCTTCACTTGGACCAAACATTATCAGCTGAAAGGGTTTTAGCGTCTTAAAGTTTTCAGTTAACAACCACCATTGTAACTTGTTGCTGCAACAAAAGGTTTTTCTGTTAACTTTGTCACTGTAAATGGATTTACTGTAGAGAGAACATTGCATTCGACATGATACATTTTTCCACAATCCATTGTGGTTTAAAATAATGTACTGTGAACTCATTRTAATGTTGCTGCATATGTTACAGTAAAATACTGTGCAAATTATTCAAATCATCCACTGGTTTTAACTATGAGTTCCAGAATTTTAATCTGATTATAAAGCACGCTTCACAGAAATGTTCCTTTTCTTCTTTAGAMGTTTTAACAGGATTTGACTGGATGGACATCAGATGACACTTCTTCCCCAGCATTCCTGTTGGTGTGTGACTGACATGTTAATGGTTAACCATTGTTATTAAAGGAAGAGGCAGAGTTCAGCAGGGTAGAAGGCAGCAAGAGCCATTTTGATCATGCATCTTCCTGTTTTCCCCTCACGCATGGAGAGCGACTGTTAACTTCAGCTTACCTTTCATCCGTAGTCTGTGAGTTACTTTGTTTTAAACTATTTTTTTAATTTATTTTTTAAAAGTGATGTTCATCTTTACATTGTGGTTAGTGTTTGTTCTCATTTGACTGTAAAATAGGTAACATGACACGTTCACCCCTCTCTATAATCCCATGATTTTGTTATTGCAGCTTATATCTTTTATAAATGAGCGATATTAGTTCATCTTCCATGTTAGCATAAAAAGGGATTTAAATAACCCAACCTGTTTTAACAGTGTTTATGTGTTTCTGGTGGAGGAACAATGGTGACACTGAATCATTTGAGCGTGGAAGATCCAGACGATGAAGGTCCACTGCTGCCTGTGGTTGCAGAGACAGCAACGTCAACGCCGGTCAGTCACAGACAGCGAGTCGTGGTAAAGACAGAGTCCARGGATTTTTTCCTCAGCAGGTATTTCTGGATGGAATTTCTCAAGGTTGGAGGTCAGACAATGATTACAAAGCTTAAAAAAGGACCGTATTTTTAATCACAGTCAAACGTGGAATAAGTTTGTCCTGAGACCAATGTCAGATCATGTAAACTAAAAATAAAATGTCTTCTTTAAACCATTAACTGAATGTGAATTTTAAAATTATTTTATGAGAGTTGTGAGACTAAGCTCAAATTGAACACAAAATTCTTTAGAATAAAAAGTTAGTCATTTTGAGGTACTGCTAAGTTTAATAAAGGCAATAAATAAATTAAAATATAATGTACTTCTTGTTTTTTTTCCTTTCAGAAAACATTCAAAGAATAATGTATGAGCACAGAGTTGGATTAGAGTTCATTCTAGTAAAATTACCACGAGCCAGAAAGGTGTTTAGTAATAAAAAAAGAATACAAAAACAGTCTCACCATAAATGAATAAGATGCTGGCCCATTAGTAAGTAATAACTTTATTTACTGTATATAGCACCTTTAACAGTCAAACAAGGTGCTTCACAGCAACAATAACAATAAAAAGCATAAAGCACATTTACAAATGATAAGAAAACAACAATAAAACAACATAAAAGACAACATAAAACTCATGCAAACATGTTTAAAAAAGTATGTTTTAAGCTGCCTTTTAAAAGTCTCCACCAAGTCCACAGCTATTTAGAGTTACAAAGTTTGGRAGCTACAACCTGAAACGCCCTGTCTCCACTTGTCTTTAGCTGTCATCGAGGAACGAAAAGCTGATTTGATTCACTAGATCTAAGTGTATGTGAGGCTACATATGGAGCAGATCTGATATGTAAGCTCTGTAAGTGATTTTAAGAATTTTAAACTGAATCCTGAACTCCACAGGAAGCCAATGGAGTGAATGCAGCAGAGGAGTAATATGACGGTGTCTGTTTGACCTGGTGAGCAATCTAGCTGCAGCATTCTRAACAGCCTGCAGACGATTTCGAGCAGAGGCAGTAACTGAAGAAAAAAAGAGCGTTACAGGTGTCAACTCGAGAGGAAATGAAAGCATGAACAAGCATCTCTGTGCAACTGAAAGGACAGATCTCAGCTTGCTGATATTTCTTAAATGAAAAAAAAAAACAGTTTCTTGTCAGCTGTTTCACATGTGCATCAAACAATAAAGACTGGTCAAACAGAACACCTAGATTTCTATCATTTGCATGGACAGCAGAGGAGAGCTGCCCAAGAGCTTGCCTAATAGAGGGTACCACCCTATCAGGTGCAATAATCATCACCTCAGTCTTGTCATCATTTAACTGTAAAGAATTGTCAGGCATCCAAGTTAGTAATGAGCTTATGCAGAGAGCAAATGTCATTTGCCTTAAATGAGAAGTGAAGTTGGATGTCATCAGCATATAAATGATAAGGAATGTTAAAACTTTCAATGATTAGACCCAAGGGGAGCATGTATGAGGAAAACAACAAAGGCCCAAAAATGGATCCCTGTGGAACTCCACAAGTTACARGAGTTGAATCAGAAACAAAGTTACCAATCGTCACTGTAAAACTTCTTTCACTAAAGTGAGATGAAAACCACTGTAATAGTGAGCCAGATAAATCCACCCAATTTCTTAACCTGTCTAATAAGTTATGRTGATCTACAGTATCAAATGCGGAATTGAGGTCAAGTAATACTAAAACTGAAYAATCACCAACATCWCGTGACATTAAAACCCTCAACAGTGCTGTCTCTGTAGAATGCTTCTTCCTAAACCCAGACTGATACATATCATAAATGTGAAATTTTTCCAAAGCAGCAGTGAGCTGAATAGCTACTACTTTCTCTAGAATCTTAGACATAAATGGAAGTTGGATATTGGTCTGTAATTCTTGAGCACGGCAGGATCCAAGCTGGGCTTCTTTAATAACGGCTGAACATTAGGTTCTGACAAAGATTTTTACTGAACCCACATGGTACAAACWAAATAAAATATACTAAAAACAAAGAAAGTTTATTTTAGAAACAAAAAAATTTGAGATAGAGAGGTTTTAAACACTTTTAACTTTGTGAATGTGTTTGACTGAAGAAGAAGCACGTGAATGTTAGCAGGATTTGTTGCACTGAGTTCTATATTCTTTYGCACAGGAAGGAGAATCTTTCCATYAGTCTGATCCTGTTAATCGGATGTTACTTGGCTATTTTGATTCCTGCACATTTCCCCCTRAAGAAGKCAGAGTCTGTCAGCTTTGACTTCCAACATCCAAAGGATCCGGTAAAGACACCTGAAAGCCTTGTAGATTCTCACTCAGAGCCTTGGTTGAAGTGTTTTTYATTTCTGCAGGACTTATTAAATCGATCAGCCTCCCTGTTAGCCCACCGCTGTCAGCCTCATTTGTCTCTGAGCCGCCTGAAGCCTCTGTCCTGTTCTGAGGGCCTCTTGGACATCCCGGTCTTCGTGCAGGAGGACAGTCCTGCGGCGTGGAACCTGACTCCTCCGCTGGGGCTCCAGGGGAGTGAAGAACATCTGGCCGTGGCTCTCGCCTCRATGCCCCAACCTGGGCTGCCTCCATCGCTGGCGAAAGCAGGCAGGTGCAGGAGATGTGTGGTGGTGGGAAATGGAGGTATTCTTCATGGGAGCCACCTTGGATCTCATATAGATCAGTATGATGTCATAATTAGGTATGTGGTTAAACATATATTTTAAATAAACTAGATCTGGCATTGCTCTTTGTACCATCTTTACAAATAGGCTCACTTGAGACTTTGGCTTTATGATGCATTAACAAAACCTTGCAACAAAGTTCTTGAAGTTTTCTGATCCAACTCTTGTCCACATGAACAAACGCGTTGTCAGGCTGAATATGGCTGCAGTGCATGGATTTGAAAGAGATGCTGGTTCGCTCACAACCATCCGCCTGATGTATCCAGAGGGAGCCCCTCACTCTGCCAATGAGTACAAAAAGACCACWATGGTGGCCTTGGTGGTCTTTAAAGGCCTTGACTTGGACTGGCTGACTTCTGTCATCACCAAACAGCCTCTGGTATATCAACAATCACTGTTCATAGATTTTATTTTTTGATAAATCATGAATGTCTCAATTCATGCAGATATTCCACCATTATGCTACATTCCTCAGTGTGTGTGTGTGTGTGTGTGTGTGTGTGTGTGTGTGTGTGTGTG